TGAGAATTCCAGTAGATTGAGCAGGCTTACCGTTTTAAATGCCAATGTGCTTGTTGTCACCTTACACCACCTACTGTAAATGGTGGTTTCAGAAAACGAGGCGTTTTATTGCGAAGCTGGATTCTTTACTCCCCACTATGTTACAAACCTTACGGCGACGCTTCCCTACGCATCCTACGCAAGGAAGATCAAACTGGCATTGGCGGCAGTTGTTTCATCTGACATGACATGGCATACACAACATAGCAAGAACATAGCGGCGTTGCGTACATTAACGACACCTTTCACACGCAAGGTCAAATCACGTAGGTAGGTTGTCCACATAACCAAGAAGATGCACACATACCTAGAAAAGGAGGTGAACACCATACTGCACCTGTATGGAGCACGTTACTGCATAATTCGGGTCTCCTCCAAACATCTCCAAACAAAGCTACCAACGAATCCTAACAGACCTTGCCTTTAGAGAGAGAGAGAGAGGGGGAGAGAGAGAGAGAGACCTTCTCAGAAGATACCGCAAACGCAGCAAACTGCATACCCTTGTGCAATTACCCCCGCACCTGAACAAGAAGACTGACAACAACAGGCGCGCACATGTTGCACCCACCCAACTCCCCAAATACTTTCGCGTGAAGACTATGTAAGCAATTAAACCTTACAAAAACATGAAAGTCTGAAGCTCCGGGAGGGACTGGGGTTTCCCAAAATCAGGGCGGGGCCAATACTGGTTTCCCATATTTTGGGAACCACATATCCCAAACCTGGACCCTGAACCCTTAACCCGAATATACCCCCTACACAAACCCTATAAGCCCCATATGAAACCTTGATAAACACCATATGTATGCATGGCAGAACTGAGGGCAAAGCTTTTCCCTTGGGTTGCAACGTTGTCCAGCCAAACTGGCATCTTTGGCTAGGTTGGGGGTCTAGGGCCTAGGAGTTTAGGGTTTAGGGCTTGGTGTTCAGGAATTTGGGCTTGCGGTCTGGGGTTTGGGAGTTTGGGGTTTCTGTTTTGGGGTCAACGCAACAGAATAATATTCGTGATGCTGATGAGACCAAGAGCACTTTTCGTGACTGAGCTGTCAAAGTGCTACATTGCTACATGCCCGTATTGCCAGTGCATGAACGCTACAAATGCAGGCCTGCTGAGTACTGAAGTTCGAATGGCCCAAATGCTTGTACTTGGTATAACAATCATAACAACAATGATTGTAACAATAAGAATAACAATATTACAGTAATAGCAATAAGACTACTAAAAACACAGCAATAATAAAAACTAAACTGATAGGTCCTGGATCATGTTCTCATGGCAGCTGGAGCTGATTGTGTTGGCACAGGAAGGACGTTGAAGAGATAAACCTACCAGGGACAGAATTGGGTAGTTTCCAAAATTAGGGTCCCATTTTGGTATCCCTAAATATTAGGTGCCATAAGAGAGTTTGTAACCCCAAGGTCCCATGATCTTGAGAATCACCCACTTGGCAATTATTTGTTGTGCTCCCTAGTGATGGCCTCATACGAGCTAGAGACTAAACTCCTCAGTGGGGGGTTATCTGGGAGATTATATAGGGGGCCATTATGCCGGTTAAGAAGGGGGATACTAGGAGTTTAGACTACAGCTCAGATGGCCCCCCTGAGAGATTACTTTGAACCTGGTACCAGCTGCAGCTTCAACGAGAGCATCTGGCCTGACGCTGCAGACATAGCATCATGGCCTTGGCATTTTATTGGGCACTCCTTCAGAACCAAATTCTTGCACATTGAAACTAAGAAGCTGGAGAGACTGAAGGCCTGCTTGCAAATCATCAGCATGGCAAACAGGCGAGAGCCGAAACCCATAATTTGGGATTCCCGCAGTGCAAAACTTAGGTTTTAGATACCTGCAAAACGAACCTCCGGATTCCCGGATGTTTGAAACTCACCAAAATGTTCAAACCATGTTAAGCCCATTCAGCGCCCGACCAACATTCCAACTCTTCTGCTGCGTCCGCGGGCTTTGTCCCAGCCTCTGGTGAAGTTGTAGTGGCTGTCTGACCCTTATAGAAACAGTAGTCCCCATACGGTGCATGACCCGAAGTACTCTACACCTTGGCAATCATGGTACTACAGTAAAAAAAAAAGGTAATGCAGAAGCTTTCGTATCAGAAGTATTACACCCATAACTCATAACCCACAGGGTTCCCATGAAGGCCCCTAAAACCCCCAAAGCTTAGCAGCTTAGCACCAGATACGTTCTGGGCGTATGGCTTTTAGATTCTAGTCAGCACTATGCTCCTTCTTGCAGCATCAGAATTCTTTTCAGTGTGGGAGCGCATGGGTGCACTACATACTAGGGCCACGTACAATGAAGACCCAAAACGGGACAAAAAGGTCGACAACCACCCAGGAAGAATGGCACCAGCTTTGTCTCAACGACCTAAATTTGCAATGCTGGTATTCGCAAGGTATTTTGTAAAGTTCCATGAATGTTTGTGCAAGTCCAACCTATCATTACAAGCAGTCTGCTTGGACTCAGGCAGCTTTTCTGGAGGCCTCGCACCAAAAGCCACGGTGGCAGTAGAGTGTGGGGTGGCGGTGGGATTCATGCTTAAGCGTTGCGAAAGGTTTTGCTTGTACTGTCTCTCTCGGCTCCTGAGTGCCACTACAATGGGAGCTGAGTTCCTGGAGCGCCAGAAAAAACACTCTTTTGGGAACCTTTCTGAACTTTCAATTTGAGTCACTAACTATGAGCGCGCCTATGAGCTACAAAGTTGTGCAATCCCTATCAGCACTGTGTTGGACAAAGGGACAGCAGCAGGTGTAGAGGTGTAGAGGTGTAGGAGAAGCTGCAGCAGTAGCAGCCACAGTAGTAGGATTCAGGCATCAGCTTCTCTCTTGCAACAAGTAAACCAGCAGCAGCAATCTGGCATGTGAAACATCAGCAGCCAAAGTGGCGGGTCCTGACGATGGGCGGCAAGCCGCCTGGGGGGAGTTTGCTTCCATACCCACGCCGGCCGGACCTTGCAACGCAAAAACCTTTTTTTGTTGAGGGTTTAGGGCTGCATGTTGTGAGCTGTCCCTGTTTGAAGTTACACTGCATGCCCTTCTTCAGTGATGCTCTTCGCGCTTAAAACCTGAACTACATGGACCGTACCTTTGAGTCTTGGAGCTTTAAACCCTGTAATATGTGCCCTGAACCCTGAAGCTAAACCATCCCTAAACCCTGACATAGACCTAAACCCTTCCAAAGGCTAAATGCCGTCTTGAAACCCTAGACATTCCTCAAGCCCAAAACCTGCAATCGACGGCGAAAACTTTACTGCTAGCAAGTTTACTCTGATTGGGATGCATCTATATTTAAGCCCAAGTTTGGGGTGGGGGCAGTAAGCAGAGGAGATTAGCGTAGAATCCGATACCTCAGAACCTTACTTGATCTATAGAGACTGCATGACTTGCTCGCAATGTCCTTTCCACTTCTGACAAATGACCTTAAACTCTCAAACCTGAACCCTGACTTAACCCTAAAACCTGAACCCTAAACACTTAGCTGTAAACCCTTAACATCCCTAAGCCCAAAGAACAAATAAGACGTCTCAGGCCGATGCATAATAAATGGGCTGCTTTGCAAGGCCCGTGATCTCCAAAATGGTCTGAGCCAAATGACATTACAGCACACGTGGCTCGGGTTGAGCCTACTTTCAATAAATGACTGGGCTGAATGTAAGCCAGCAAAAAAAATCCTCATTATCGTGACCGCCGCGAAACTACCTTATAGGATTTAGGCTTAGCTAATCCACCCCACCCACTAGTAGCGGCCACAAGGGACACTTTCGACTATAATAAAATAATAAGGTCTTTGCGTTTTCCCGTTGGTTCTGCTGGTCCAAATGTTGGGCACCCAACTCCAGTGGACACTGTCAGCTTCTAGGCCATGATAACTGGACGCAATACCAGATGCCGTGCCGCAAGTGCATGCACAGGAGAGCAGCTCCTTCTTGTCTCCTTTGAGGTTTGCTCAGACGCGGATGTTTCTCAGGTAGATCCCTGAGGGCCCCACACCTGGAAAACTCTCCAATGGGGTTCCCTGATAGGTTTATGAGTTCCCTTCAAACGGCCCCCAAGAAATCTACCCTAGCTTAAGGTGTCCCAAGCACAGGCCTGGAAGCAAGCCTCAGGGCTGCGAGAACTGAGAAAGTGACTGTTATGTAACAACCTGGCTTGCAATCCTTCCTGCAGTCTCTGCTGCTATGGGAGCACAAACTACCTCATCTCACTCACGCAGCCGACTGGGCCTATGAAAACCAGCACGCCGCAGCTCTGTCGCGCAGGGCGGCTAAATTTGAAAGGGAGGCCTGCACGACCTGCTGCCATGTCAAGACACGGCGAGCATGATAGAAAAAACTGCCTTACAGCTTACAAGTCAGACAGTCCTGTCAACCCCCCTTGCTGCGCACTAAAGATTCTGAAAGTTGTGTGTACAGCGGCACTTCAAACGTGCCCGGTGCACATGCTTGCAAGCATCATGCAAGGTTTTACCCTGCAAGCGTCCTACATGCTACGTGCACCTTGCAAATGCGTGCAACGGAAAACTTCATGGTAAAGACGGACGTTTGAGCTGTTCAGCTGCCACATGCCAGCGCGGCAAGATCTTGGATCAAGCCAGCTGGCTGTGCTCCATCTGGACCTGTAAGCATATACGAGTCTAAAGAGAATAACGGTGAATCGGGTTTTTTCACAGTGGCGGGTGCACTGCTGCACCAACGGACCCTGAAATCTGTGCTCAGAAGATCACCGGTTCTTCTGGAAAGAATCGCCCCCACTCCTGACTGCTTAAGGCTCTGGTCTACAGCCACCTCCTGCTAGCATGCAATATGTCAGGTGTTGGCGAGTGCTTCACATAAGGCAAAGGGTGCATAATGCGAGGCTTTGGGAATACGCACTGCGCAACTCAACGAAGCAAAACGACATTGTTATGAAAAGGTATACAGGAGTTTCTCAGACTCACCCCACAAAACTCATAGGGGCCACATTAGATATTTGTAAGCTTGATACCTCCCTAAAGTCCCCAAGACCTTGCTTTTGAGAACCCCAAGCAAAACAATAGACGATACTTTCAACACGACCATGCCCAGGGTCAGTCCTAAACTCTTGGACCAAACTCCTGACCTTGGTCCATCCTTGAACCCGCAAATTTCCAAACTGACCCCCGACCCCAAACAGCCACAAAGTCTAGACCCTACGTACGAAGAAATGTCCTTCTTCTCCGCTGCGCTTACGGCTCGAACGCCGCCATGCCAGCCTCCGATAGCGCAAGGCCGCGTAACACCATCTCCAACCTCAAGCGAACAGAACAAGGCACTTAGCGTGACAGCTTTTACACAGGTGCTAAAAGTGTAAGGAGCTGTTCTGGGGATTAGGTACTTCCGGGGGGAATCCCCACATGAGATCAAGCATGCTCTATGACAGGCTCTCCCCCAAGTATGACCATAATAATTTAATCTTCCTTTGAGCCCGAACGCAGTGTTAGGCGGAGGTACTCTACTAACAGACATGACCATGCAAGGGGCTAAGGTTCGATGTGAGAGTCAGTATTACCTCTACCAACTTCCTGCGCAGCCTGGGTCTATCCTTGGGGTGGAATAAATGCCGAAAACATAATCAAACGATGACCTGGCAACCGTGACCTGCAACCTTCGCCAACGAGAAGTTGCCGGGAAATGATCAAAGGTCATGGTGATAAGCACTTTCTTGCTGTTCGCTTCTCGGAGTACTGACTCGACGATGCCGAACCACCAGCCGAAGGGGCTGCCTTGTTGCATTTTCCACTGCAGTTCCTCAGATGGGGGTTTCCCCAAATCAGGGGTGGTCCCAATAATATTCATGATACACTTTTTGGGAAACTACCAATGCTGCCATACCTTTAAGCATATCTAGGAAGGTAAGACCTCCCCCTACCAATAAACCCCACACACGCATGCAAGTAAGAATATAATAGAGAATACCTGCCGCAATACCCCCAACGAGATGCCAGCGTAGGATGGGGGCACTATTCATTCAGGAAATGGGGAGATTTATCGGGACTAAAAATCCTACACCCTACCTGTGACCCCAATTACCTACAAATTAGTTGCAAGTGCCCCTTGATTAGTATGCCCAAAACTGTAGGTATTTGGGGTTACAAGTAGACCCTAAACCCTGAATAGTAGTTTCCATGTTCTTTTCCATTATCATTCTATAACCCCAATGTAACCCCTAAATATGTACCCTATAGTATTATAGGTAAACCCTAAAAGTATCATCCAACAACAGCCCGGCTTCCACACCCTGGCCGACTTTCAGCTCTGGCGCATCATGCAACACCTGTCTTTTTAGCACATGAGCCATAGTCTAAACTCCTAGTATCCCCCTTAATAAACCCCATAATACTCCCCCATATAATCCCCTATATAACCCCCTTTAAGGAGTTTAGACTCTAGCTCACATGTGGGAGCTTCCAAAAATTCGGGGTTGTCCTTGGGTGGGAGTCCACAGAATAGGGGTTAAGGATGGTAAAGGTTTCGGGTCTAGGGTATTGGGCCCCTGTGTTTTTTGAAGATTCCCATGATTGTCATGAAGCAAGTTACACATCCATGATGCCAATATGCAGCTGGGACACGCGATAACCGTACCTCGAACAGCAGACTCTTCTTACGGAAGAACGTATCCAAGCACAACCAAAATCGTCTGCATGCCAGCATCTCAAAATCCGAGTGCAAAGACCATCAAAAACCAAGGAACACCTCTGAGGCTTGCGGGGGCATCAGCTCAGGTTTGAGGCACTCGCGCACGGAGGCCCGGCAGAATCGAAGCCTGTATCCTTCGTGGTATGGAATGCGTTCTGGGAGAACCTGCCACGGAAGAGCGGCAAGCTTGTTGCATGATTATTATTAACGCATTCTACAGCACCAAGCTCCCTCAACAACACCAAAGGATGGAGCCTGGCTTGCACTGACGTAGGCGGCAGTGTAGCAGTTGGTATTGGCATCCCATGTCACCTCCATCACACACGGCCAGATCATGCTGAATCGCATTGGTTCACCAAGCAAAAACAAACGCGGCCTTTGCCAACATACAGGACATGGCAAATCCAAGCTTCTTCTCCCGGTCATGCACCTCTTTAACATGCAACATGGCTTGCTTCTTGCAAGACGGCAAATGCGTTGCCTCCAATAAGGCTTCATAGTGGCCAGAACAGGTGTGACGGTACCTGGCTGGGCAAGCATCCAGCCATGATGCTCCAAACCTACAGCCGCTTTCTAATGCCTGTTGGAAAATTCAAAATCTGCCATGCTGCCCAGGCACATGGACTTCCAATCTGTTTCCATGTGAGTCACTTTGGACATGTGGCATTGGGATTCGTAGAATGCTGGCCAACGCTCAGCATACATGCGTTCCCATTGGTGTGCACAAAGGAGCTTGCCATTTTGCGAAATGGTCTTCGAAGTTAGCTCGCAAAGATTTATGACATCCAGGGGTTCTTCCAAAAAAGAGACCACGTCGTCCATCATGGGCAAAGCAAAAATCATATGCGATAAGGTGTCCCATCCACGGATCGACACGGGTTGGGGAACTGCCTGATGTGACAAAAACCTTTTGAAGGAGCCAGAGCGGCCAAAGCCTGCCCGAATGACCTGGTTAAGCCAAGCTTGCAGGAGCGAGCCACTGTCATGCATGTAGAGCGTCCACACCACAGGCTGCATCTTGAAGTACTCGGCTTTCCGGCCTGGCAAAGGTTGGATCGTTGTCCCACCATGCTCACATCCAAGCTCTTCATGAAGGCGCTCAAAATGGTACCTGGAGCGTATGCCTTGCCAAAATTGCACGTCAGCAACATTGTCTAACTGCACGACAAACTCGTCTCTGAAAATGCCAGAGGCCAAGGAATGGACGAACACCCGGGCTGCAACTGCATCTTGGTGCTTAGCTTCCACCAAAGTCTCAGCATCCATTCCGAAACCCATGGAACTTTGCTTGGATAAGGAATCTGCGTTCGGAGTGAGAGGGCCAATGGACCATTTGCCGTCTGGGTCTGCGGCCTGGCGATCCTCCACTCGCACAACGCTTTCATGCGCTCCCATTTCTGTATATGCTGGTGTCTACAGGGGTGGCAGCTTCGTTTGAGTTTGCCAAAATGGCTGACAGACAAACATGGTGAACAGCTCTGGAAAGTGCAGATTGTTCAACCTGTCAGCCGTTGGATGTAGCTTTATTGGTGCCAGGTGCGCGGACGTCAGAACAAATCATGCAGTCAACACAAGGATCATAAATTCATAAATGCTTGGGAAGGCTCTCAACAGCTGTCTCCAAGCACACGGGCGAACTTGCCGAATCTGACCCCGATCTGCGCCGAACACAGTTTGTATCAGGCAGGGAAAACCGGCTGCGTGCTTTGCGAAAACAATGGTTTGACAAACTCCACAACTTGCAGCATCGCAGGTAACAAACCGACGTGTGATGATGGTCATCTGTACATGACATTCTCAGTGGAAAGCGTGCAAACCCCAAACGATTTTACACACAACGGCCAATATGGTCTCATGGCCGCAAACAGAATCTGGACAACAAATGTGTCAAGCAATTGGTGATGGGACACGTTCTTTGAAAGACATCCGACCAACAACCTTAGCTAGAATACCTGCCAGCTGATCTTTGGTAGAAGTGTAGTTCAACAATCTTTTTGAAGGCTCTTTCGCATGATATGAACCATATAAAGCTCACAAGCAATCAAGTTTCAAACATTCTCTGGCACAACTATCTTCCAAGGGCAGAAATCAAGCGGTGCGGATGCATAAAGGCCCTCAACACGCTGTGATAACATAACTTTCAAGCTGCGCAACCAATTTCGACCAATGATGGGGCGAACCCCGGTGTGAGACACCAGCACGGCAGACCTCAACCACGATGGAAGTAACCCAGGAACCAGCTGGACAATTTGCAAAGCGTGCAACCTAATGGCAGTTGGACGGCCAAGCTGGCAGCTCGCATGGGCCGGCTGCCCGACACAAGCGCATGGTATCAACATCATGCCAACCCAGGCCCTGACAACAAACGCTGGCCCCGTTCACATCACCGAATGTGGCATTCTTGGTTATTTGTGGGCCTGGAAACACGAATTCCAATCCAAACCTGGCGGACGGACTTACCAATTGTTGGTTCGCATCAAAGAAAAAAGGAAACTCTAGATCCAATCGTTTTGCAAGTGCGGTTCCGGAACGATGGAATGTCATTCATGCTGCACGACCACAAAACACACCCCCCCACCTAACAAAGGGGAACAAGAACTGGCCAAAATAGATCCGTCCAAAAATTGGACAAAAAATCCGCTGAATCAACGAACGTGGGAACGATCTTGACATTATGTGGTTCCAGGACGGCACTACTCCGAGCACGCTCTAGAATCTAGAAGGCATACAAACAGCGATCCATTGGCATTGTGTTGTCTGAAGACCGCACTAATCCAAGCAAGTTCTAAAAGGCATACAAGCGCGATCCAAGCTCCAGAAGGGGTACACAGAGCGATATTTTTTGAAGTCGTGGGCATCTCGATCCAAGAGAAAAAAAAGTATCCAACACATCTGGCAGCATCTCAACGGAAGCAATGAAAAGCGCTGTTGGGAGGGTCTGCCGGCAAGCACTGCAATGAATGAACAAATTATTCTGATAGTCTACTGTTATCATTTGCAAAAACCGCATGGAGCCTCAGCCAAGCAAGCGACGCAGTGGTTGCACAGCACATCGAGTGGACGCCTGCACGGGCACGTGGCCGGGACCAGCGCAGGTGGCGCAGCACCAGCACGCGGCAGGAGGCATTCACCCGGCAAAAAAGAAAATAAGCCCCCGAAAACACGCAACATCATCGAGGCAAGCCGTGCAGAACGTTGATCAAAACTGACGACACCTCGCCGAAAATCAAATGCCACAAGAAACCCAACACCGTTCCGCAGCTGCGGAAGGATGCTAAAGTCTCGCCAAAGCATATGGAACTGTGACTCTTCACTTTATTTTTCCCCAAACAAAACGCATATGGGGTCCTTTCTTCAGGAGAAAAGAAAACGCGGGCAGCTGGACGGGCTGCACAGGGCGCAGACCTGTGGGCTCGCGGTGGGCCTGCAAGAATAGCAGAACGCGGCAGCTGGACGGGTGACGCGCGGCAAGGACATGCCGGCCCATAGCGGGCCCGCTGTTGTGAGTTGTGTCTCGAATCGCAAATGGGTAGTGGGCAAATGTGGCTCTAAATGGGCTGAAGGCCCATCGTGAGCCTGCAGTTATGAGTTCTGCTTGGAAAGGTGCCAGTTCCAGCAACGATTTTTTTTTTGAAGCGGTTTTTTTGCTCCTGCATCACTGGTCAAGGTCGGTCGGGCGCTACCCGCAGCTGCAGGCCGCAACGGTATCC